ACGCCGGCCACCACCGACCCGCAACGGACGCCTGGGACATCTGTGCGAACACGGGATAGATCTCCTGCCCGCATCTTGATCGATTAATTTATGCTTCATGGTAAGTCGGAAGGACGAACCGAGGTTTTACCGATGTAGGCTGCCTTATCGAGGGTTGATTCTGAAGGGGTTGATCGATTCTTGTTGCGGGCGTCGACTACTGTGGTCATTAGCCCCTGAAGGGGTGCGTGCGCTGTTTAATGCTGCTTTGGTAAATGTAGCGATTCGCTAGGGTGTCGATACTGTGATGGAACTATGTTATGGAATTTATTTTATTTAAACCTTGCATATTTAAACCTTTATGCAAGGTTTGGGTGTTTCTTTCCGGGGTGGAGTTCTTTGGGAATGTTTTTATGAGATAGAAGTTGGGTAATTTTGGTGTTTGAGAGTTTGGAAATTTGCGAATTTATATATTTTTAGTTAGAAAATGTATATTTACGAGTTGTCTACATTTCTGTATATAGAGATCGTTACTACATCCCTTATTTTTATAAACTTTCAAGGTCAGTATATCTTTATATTTCCATATACGTTTATTTATGAATCCCTATATAGTCCATAAATTCTTATAACCTACATAAGATATAATTAATAAACTATAATTATAAATTTGATGCTTTATTTCAAAATACCTACAATTCCCGCCACAACTTCCAAAAGCTGAAGGATGATATTTTAAAAGCGTTCATATGTACATTTTTATGTATCCATTACTATTCATGCATTATATATTATATTATATTATTATATTATCGATATAGAATTCTTTAGAAACAATGAAAAATTGCGAAACCAAGTTAAAAGAGAAAGTATGATTTGAAAAATAAGAGGTGCGTAATGGCGGCCGCTAGATGGTTGCAGTGCTTCAGGCGCCGTTCTGTTTAATTGACTTTATGGTCGATTTTAACATTTTCTAAAAACTGTAATCAGATTGTTTGACTTTCTTTGTGACTGTATTATGCTTCTCAAGTATTTTTGATTCTCAAAATTGAGAAGTTTTTGGGAAATATACTGTTTAGGCATTACAGTGATGTTTATCGTAGATACTAGATGGCGATAAGGTCACCGTCTTCGCAGCGCGGTGTATTGTGGTATTGAAAATTGAATTTATGGAAGAGAGTGATTAAAAGTGGGAGTAGTGAGAGAATTGGGGAATTTTGGAGAGCGGAATTTGGAAATTTGGGATTGTGGGAATTTGGAATTTGGGGAATTGGGAATTTGAGGAATTGGGAATTTGAGGAATTGAGAATTTGGAGAATTGGGAATTTAGGGAGTTTGAAACTTGAGGAATTTGGAATTTTGAGAATTAGGAATTTGGATAATTGGGAATTTGGGGAATTTGAAACTTGGAGAATCGGGAATTTGGGAAATTTGAAACTTGGAGAATTGGGAATTTGGGGAATTTGAAACTTGGAGAATTGGGAATTTGGGGAATTTGAAACTTGGAGAATTGGGAATTTGGGGAATTTGAAACTTGGAGAATTGGGAATTTGGGGAATTTGAAACTTGGAGAATTGGGAATTTGGGGAATTTGAAACTTGGAGAATTGGGAATTTGGGGAATTTGAAACTTGGAGAATTGGGAATTTGGGGAATTTGAAACTTGGAGAATTGGGAATTTGGGGAATTTGAAACTTGGAGAATTGGGAATTTGGGGAATTTGAAACTTGGAGAATTGGGAATTTGGGGAATTTGAAACTTGGAGAATTGGGAATTTGGGGAATTTGAAACTTGGAGAATTGGGAATTTGGGGAATTTGAAACTTGGAGAATTGGGAATTTGGGGAATTTGAAACTTGGAGAATTGGGAATTTGGGGAATTTGAAACTTGGAGAATTGGGAATTTGGGGAATTTGAAACTTGGAGAATTGGGAATTTGGGGAATTTGAAACTTGGAGAATTGGGAATTTGGGGAATTTGAAACTTGGAGAATTGGGAATTTGGGGAATTTGAAACTTGGAGAATTGGGAATTTGGGGAATTTGAAACTTGGAGAATTGGGAATTTGGGGAATTTGAAACTTGGAGAATTGGGAATTTGGGGAATTTGAAACTTGGAGAATTGGGAATTTGGGGAATTTGAAACTTGGAGAATTGGGAATTTGGGGAATTTGAAACTTGGAGAATTGGGAATTTGGGGAATTTGAAACTTGGAGAATTGGGAATTTGGGGAATTTGAAACTTGGAGAATTGGGAATTTGGGGAATTTGAAACTTGGAGAATTGGGAATTTGGGGAATTTGAAACTTGGAGAATTGGGAATTTGGGGAATTTGAAACTTGGAGAATTGGGAATTTGGGGAATTTGAAACTTGGAGAATTGGGAATTTGGGGAATTTGGAATTTGGAGAATTAGGAATTTGGGTGATTGGGAATTTGGGGAATTTGAAACTTGAGGAATTTGGAATTTGGAGAGTTTGGAATTTGGGGAGTTTGGAATTTGGGAAGTTTGGAATTTGGGGAGTTGGGAATTTGGGGAATTGGGAATTTGAGGAATTGAGAATTTGGAGAGTTGGGAATTTGGGGAGTTTGAAACTTGAGGAATTTGGAATTTTTAGAATTAGGAATTTGGGTAATTGGGAATTTGGGAATTTTGAAACTTGAGGAATTTGAAACTTGAAGAATTTGGAATTTGGCGTATTGGGAATTTGTAGAGTTTAGAATTTGAAGAAGCTGGAAAGTTGCGATATTAGGAATTTCAAGAAGTAACACAATTTTCCCAAAACACGATTCTAACTCCTACCAAAAATCCACTTGTCCAGCCCACCTCTCAAAATCCGTATTTCCCTCGGAAAGGCCGCATCGTTTATTTTCCAATAATTAAAATTTCGCAGCTGAAGGGCCGATGTCGGGGGCGCGAAAGGTGGTAGGGAATCTGGTGGCGAACGAAGAGGGAGGTGTTCGACACTTTCGTTGTCGTGGCTCGTTACGGCTGCAGAAAGGGTGGGAGTTTTGCCGCCCTGCTAGTCGTCCACCGCCGTCGGCGGAGATTAATTAACTAGATAACGGTCGGTGGCTGCGAGGGAACGTTGGACGAAGAGGGACAACAGAGAAACCGCGATAGCTTCTCATGGGGGTAAAACGATACAGTAGAGCGTACCATACCCATCGATACCAATAAGACAACTACTTCCCTGACGAACTTTTATACTTTTCTAACTCCATTTATTTATTATTATCAATATTCTATAATGATACATTCTGACTGGAACCTTGAACCTGCCTGGACTGACAAAATTTTAGGGATGGGGAGTTTTACATTCGTTTAATTATAGGATTTAGACTTTGGGGGTAGATTTTAGGTTTTTAGAATTTTTGTTAGGATACGATTTTTTATTGGGAGACTAGATAGTAGGGTACATAGGTTCTAATACTATGAAACGATTCTACATTTTAGATTTGACATTTTAGATTCTCGATCAGACATTCTAGGTTCAGCCGGATTGTTTACATAGTTGGATTTTAGGTGTTAGAATGAACTCTGGTGTTTTTCTTGGACTCCTAAGGTCTTCAAGCCATAGGCTGCCAGTATATCTATTTCCCAGTGTAGGATTATCGGAACAACCACTAAGTTTGCAACAGTCGGGTTAAATTCCTTTATTAGACAGGTGATGTGGCTCTAAGCAAGAACGACAACAGTCTACCTCTGAACTGTTCTCCAAAAGAAAGCTTACTTACTGTTCTAAGTAAGAGAGCATACTTCTAGGACAGGGTGGTCCACTCATCTTGCAGTCTACAAAATGGTCACCAAACCTGGACAACCTCAGACAACCTGAACATCTGACTCTTAAGAGCTAATCGTCTACACTAGACAGTACAAGAGCTAGTATAAGAGCAAGCTGTCTACACTAGACCTTAAGTTTCGTTGAAGAATCCACCTGCTACCTGCTACCTGCTACCAGATACCAGATACCAGATACCAGATACCAGTGATAGGTACCAGCTTCTACTGCTCGTGTCTAATCCTCCGATCAGCCAGAGTATATCGAATACTTTTTCAATCGACGCAAGGGCAAATAACGGTAGCGGGTGCAAAGGAGACGGATAGAGGGTCGAAGCAGTCGACTGGCGGGCGTATATCGACTGTGTCGCCTCATCTACAAGTCAATCAGGCTCGCGTGCCAGCGACTCGTGAAGGCGGCCTGGTACACGTAAGTAAAGTAGCCGGCCCTCTGCTCCGGCCGACCGGCATGCCATTCGTACACGCCTCTATATATGT